CCAAACCCTGCTACTTAGAGTAGGACTTAAGTCTCAATAGCAGCCATTAGAAAAGGAGCAGTACTATCCCACTTCTGCTATCTGACATGCCCATGTCAAATAGCTTTGGTTAGACTGCTTAGATAATACACAGCCAAATTAGAGAGGGACAAGAAGCTTGTGCCACCTATAGCCTGCTAATACTGGGTGGAGGTGTCTGCTTCAGTGTCCAACTCAGTAAGAGAAATAATGAATTAGATTCAGATTAAAAGAGAGACCTGCAGGGGTTTATTTTATGTGTCAATATGACTGGCCTTTGGGATGCCCAAGTATTTGGTAAAAAAATTACCCTGGGTAATTGTGTAAGGATGTTCTTGGATGAGATTAACATTTGAGTCTTAAGAGATTCACAATCTGAAGACTGAGTAAAGACATTGCTCTCCATAATGGGTCCATAATAGGTAGGTTTCATTAATTGGTTGAAGGCATGGATATAACAAAAAGTGTGACCCTCTCCTGAGTGAGAGAGATTCTTCCTGCCCTACTTCTTGGACTTCAGCTTTATTCTGCCCTTTGGACTCTAACTGAAACATCGGCCCTTCCTGCTTCTTCTACCTGCTGGACTTCAAACCATAACTACACAAATCAATTTTCCTGGTTCTCAGGCCTTCAGATTCAGACTGGAACACCATGAGCATTCCTGGTTCTTCCGCTTGCCAATTCACCCTGCAGATCTTGGAACTTGTCATCTTCCATAGTCACGTGAGCGAACTCCTCATAATAAACTCTTTCTCTATGTATAGAAATATACCTTACCAATTCTTTTTCTCTGGAGAATTCTCATTCAAATGATGAGAAATTGAAAGAATAGAAAACAAAATTTTAGAATATTAGCAAATACAAAGTTCTTGCTTCATAAACATTAGCAAAATTAATGGATCTCTGGCAAGTCTGATCAAGAATGAATGGGAAGGCACAAAGGATCATAACCAAGCAATAGAGTTGGTTTAACTTTTAAAAATCAATGTAATTCATACATTAACAGAAATAAGGAGAAAAACAGAAACATAAAAATACATAAGAGGCATTTAATGAAATTTGGAAACTTTATGATAAAATTTTTTTGATTCTCTAGGAAAAGATAAGTTCATGAATCTGAACTTTGTTAAATTTAATCAAAGCTATGAACATCCTTAATGGTAAATTAATAAAAGTTTTCCTGTTGTGATCAGAAATGTGACAAAAGATGTCTGCTGTGAATCTCTTCTGTTAAACACTGTATTGATCTTGCTAATTAGTCATTAGACAAAATGGGAAGGAATTGAAATTCTTATATGCAGCTTGGGGAAATGAAAATTGGTACAACCACTTTGAAAAACTTGGCAGCATCTATTAATATTAGATAGTCATACTATGGACCATTTACTGATAGAAATGCATACATCTGTTTACCAAATGATATGTATGTGTATTTGTGGCAACATTATTATATTAATCACAAAATGAATACATTAATTGTGGTAGCATCAAAACAAGCAGTGGAATATGATTTCAATACAGAAATCGAATGAACTCCTTCAACAAATGAAATAGAAGCAAGATAGAAAATCATATGTAATGCATAATTCCATTTATTTAAAATTCAGAAATACACAGCAGTAGCCTATAGTGATAGAAATCAGGATAGTGGTTACTTTTGGAAAAAATGAGCGTATTGATAAAATTCTTTAATAATAAATATACATTAAGAATATCTGGCAAATGCACACAGAAAGGAAATATTAGAAAATATTTTACAGTCACTGCTACCTCCAGTCCTTCCTCAAATTTTGTCATTTTTTCTTCCACCTTTTCTCCATTCTATAACCTAATTATAGCCATTTTGCATATCACCATTTCCCAAAGCTTTCTTTTTTTTCTCTCATTGAGTTTATTGGTACATTTTAGGTATATAGTACAGTTACATTCATCATTGGGATCTTGTACCTTTACATGACAGGTCTTGGTTCTCATTTTTTCCCCTTGTCCTTGCCCTCCTTTCACCCCTTCCTGCCCTCCCCATTTACAAACCCTTTATTTTCATTTTATCATATTTTTTTATTTTCCCTTATTCCCTTTCCCCTACCCTTCCCACTTTCCCTACACCATTAGACCTTTCTTCCTATTTCATATTGTCAGTTAGCTCATTAGGATTTTATGTACTATTAATAGTTTTTCACACCAGAGAAACTATTTGGTATCTATACACATGTGACTTTTTTCACTTAGGAGTATATCCTCAATATGCATAGAGGTTCCATTTGACCCAGCCATCCCTCTGCTGGGTATCTTTCCAAAAGAATTAAAAGAATCATATCACAGTGATATATGCACACCCATGTTTATAGCAGCACAGTTTGTAATAGCTAAAACTTAGAAATAGCCCATTTGCCCGTCAGTTGGAGACTGGATAAAGAAGATGTGGTTTTTCTATAAAATGAACTGCTGCTCAGCCATAAAGAATGAGAAATTAGATTCATTCATAAGAATAAGGGTATTTATTAAATAGACTTCTAAATGTTTTTTTGTTTTTGTTTTTCTTGAATTGTGTCTTCATTTTAATTCTTGACATAGATAGTAATTTATGAGTATGTTCCCTTCATCATAATTCATTAAGTACATAATAAAAGATGCATTTAAAAGTTAAACATCCAATATGAGAAATTTGTAAACTATGAATCAAATGCATCAATCCGACTCTTTCCCCTTCTTTCCTTCCTGCCTTTTTTTCCTTCACCTCCTTTTTCCTTCTCTTCCTGCCTACTCCCCTTTCGTCTTCTCCTACTGTCTTTCTCTCAATACTGGAGGCATTATCACTAAAGTCAGGAAGAAGGCAAGAATGCTCACCCTCTCCAGCACTTTTAGCACTACAGGATATTTTATCAATGCAATTAAACAAATACAAGAGGAATAAAAATTGGAAAGGAAGACATAAAACAGTCTATTTTAGATTATATGATAACATCCCTGGAATACCTAAGGAAACCCGCACTGAAACATATAAATAATGAATTTAAAATGTTGCATATTAAAATCCAACTACAGAAATTATAATATTTTAGAAGAGATAATGAAAAGAGGAACCCATATAAAATAGGAAAATTTTCAAACTTCCTGACTGAAAGATATAAAAGAATATTTGAATAAATGAAACACATCACTTATTCTTGCATTAGTATCTCATTAGTTTTCCTCTTTCTAAAGGTTGCTTTTTTTCTTGACTTTTAAAAATAAAATATTTGTATCATGAAACACTTGAAAATTCTTATTTTCGTATGTATTTAAGATCATCTGTCTTATCACGTTTTAATATGAAGTATTTTTCCCAGTTTTATTTCATACAGTTCATTAAGATTGTTTCTTTGCCCATTAATTAAATAGTACTGTTTTAGTTTCTAAAATATTTTTGTCAGTGACTTCTAATCATCACTATAATTAGAATATAGTATGTACAATTTTGATTCTTTGTTATTGAATAACATTTAACAAATACCTACTTTTTTTCAGACACAATTTTAGATCCTGATGACATAATGAACAATTTACCCTACTTCTTTGTCTTCTTCTTATTTACATTGTATTATGAGAGTCATTTTTAAAAAATCATACAAACATGATTGTGGCTTAGGCATTGTAAACATTTTGGCATGGACAAATATGATTACATAGTGGTTTTGTTTTGGTCTTAATCCTTCATTATTACAGAGTGACCTTGTCTGATGTCTCCTGAATGTCAGGGGCTACTTATCTCTTCCTTCATTCTGTAAGTGATTTTAATATCAGATTTCCTATATTATCATATTATATAGTTATCTATTTATGATATCCTGATGCTCAGTATTTTCTGATTTATCAAGACTTTTACTAATAATGTTTTATACACTTTTTTATCATTCTAATAGTCACTTCTAAAAATTATTTTAGAATAAGACTTTATGACTTAGGGCTGAAAATTTGAAAAATTGTATTTCTCATTTTCTTGCATAATATTTCCAAACTTAGAATAACAGATTTTTCTTTTCCTTAGTTTCCTATGTGCAACAGAAAATGGCCTTATTTTCTCTGAAATGTACAAAATAGATTGAAGTTAAAATGTATCTTACAATAGTTTATGACTTTATTTTAATTTTATTTTAATAAGTATTTAAATATATTTATCTGACATTTGTGTAACAAAAATTCGTGTTACATTTGTAAAGAAGTTCAATTTTTGTCAAATTAATTTAAAAATCATTGTGTATAGTTTAATAACTTAATATGTTTAAATATTAAATATCTATTAATATGTGTGAATATTATTAAAATAATAAAATATATGTTATAGCATAAAATTGCTTTAATGAATTAATATTAAAATTTATCTGTTCTCGAATTCCTATACAGTGTTTTTAAATTAGCTTATTTATTAGCTTAAAAGCAAACATCATGATATAACTCTCTTGGAGAATTTTATGAACTTGGAGGGTTTATAAAACTGTCAGTTTAAAATACTAATTTAAATCAATAAAATAGGATTTGACATAAAGAAAATTGAAGCCAAATTTTTGACCATGTATTTCAAGTGAATAAGAGTTAAGTGGTGTTTTTATAGTTGGTAAATATTACTTTTCATCTTCATTTTCTATCCTATTTGTTTCCTCCAATTTTCACGCTGATTTTTATATTGTGTCATATATATTAGCTTTGTAATTCTTTTTTAGAATTAGAATTCATTTAGTAAATGTTTATATTGAAGCAAAATTTACTTGCTATTTTAATTGTCCATGAAATGGATACATATTTATAGGTTAGCATGTGATATATGATATGGTGTATATGTCTCCTCAATTTCTTTGTGATGAAAATGTCTCAATATAGGAAACATATTGAAGCTCTAGAAAAGCTAGTCTTATAAATGAAGTTGTTTCATGATGACTTTTTTTATTTGAGCCTTGTTAATCTAATATCAAAACTAAGAAAATGATTGTTTTAATATTTTTCAGCTGCTAATAGGTTATGAAAATGGTACTGTAGTATTCTGGGACTTGAAATCTAAAAGAGCGGAACTGAGAGTTTATTATGATGAGGTAAGTGACTTCTAAAATACCTGAAAAGAGTTTTGTCGTTTTGTCATTTTTTTTTATTTTAAGATTTGTACTTTACCCGTATTTTTATCACTGGAAAACTACCTGGTTCTGATAGTAACTTTCACTTTCTTTTGTTGTTCACAAAAGTTTCAACTCTGAATCATTCTCCTGAGTGGGAATTTTGCCTTCACTGTCAATTTTTTGTTTTGTTTTGTGTTTGCACTTTATATACTTTGAATCCTGCAGTATCCTGTATCCCTTCTTCTGTCTCAACTTTCTTTCCTGTAGATTCCTTGCTTATGTGTTGCCTTATGGTCTTTAAGGTCTGAAAAACACAATTTACACACCTTAGAAAATTTATTTTCTATGGCAAAAAGGTTAAGTCAGGTTGAAATGCCATATTTTCTAATACTTAACCTTCTCAGAATAAAGAAAGATTTTGTAAATGGGAATGTAAATGCAAGATCTGGAAGTTTTGTTGTCCATAACTAAGCCTGAGTAGGCTTTCACTTAGGAGAAGCAACAAACTCTCATTTATTAAGGAATAGTCTTCTGCTTGACACTTTCAGTTCAGACATTGACTCCATGCAATGAATTATTTCCCTTTTCAGAAGAAATGAATATAAAGACAGTGAAATAAAGGTAAAAGATGAAAAGGGGAATTATTGTAGCTGTGGAAATAAAATTGATCATCTATACTATGAAATTTATAAAATGGTGGGAGTGGAGAGTGATAGAGTGAATAGCATCCATTCTTATATGGAAAGAATTCCTAATAATTTAAGGCAGCATTTTAATAAATAGAAAAAGCCCCTTATATAATACACACACACACACCACACACACACACACATATGCAACACACACACACACACAACCATACTCTTTCTTTTGTTTCACTTTTTTGTTTTATCATTGGGGGGAAAATGTCACCAGATGAACCTGTTGTCACCCTAGGATACTTTGCATATTTTTTCCCATCCCTTTATATCAGCTAAATTTTTGAAGTTTAGGTGCTTAAATATATAGAAGATTACATAAACTCTATAATTCATTTTCTTTTTCTTTTCTTTTTTTTTTTTTGTTTTTTGGTGGTACCAGGGATCAAACTCTGGTCCTTGTTCTCGCAAGGCAAGCAGCAGAACCACTGAGCCAAATCCCCAGATCTCATAATACATTTTTTTTTTTTTTGTACCAGAGATTGTATTCAGAACCTTGCACTTGTGAGGCAGATGGCAGAACCACTGAGCTAAATCCCCGGATCCCTAATGCAATTCTTAGAGAAACTCTCAAATTGAAATTTTATGGTATATATAAAACAGTAGAGTAGTGAAGAGCTCAGAAGTAAATGATGTAATATATGTGTAATTTGTTGAGTATGTTCTTCATGTCAATTTTAGGGCACCTGGAAAGAAGATCTTTTAGAGCTAACCTAGCATTTTTGTTTTTTGTAAAATACACCAAAATAAAAAATAGTATGGATATTGCTCCATTTCTCAAAAGTAGTGGCTAGCCAAAAGTCCAAATACCACCTGATTATTTAGTCACATGGAGTTAAAGCAGACCAGACTAATACAAAACCTGGAGGACAATGCTGAATTACCTAGTTTTCCTTTGGCTTAGAAAGTATTGAAGTCTTCCAACCTTAAAAAGTGATTAAAAGTAATTTTCTCATGAAATTTTAAGGGTTAGTAACAGCCTATGTAAGTAGAGTATAATAATATACCTAATTTATGCCCCAGCATTATTTTAAATATTGACTTCTAGGTATATAAATCTATTATCTATTTGAATACTATAGTGGATACTTCTATGTGTTGTTATTTTAATCTTGATATTTAGAAACTTCACTTTAGTGTAAAAACCTTTAATTTTTTTAGTACTTTGTCTCTTGTATCTAGAAACAATCCATAATTATTATATTATTTTAATTTTTAATTTTTTGGACTTGGGATTGAACTCAGGACCTTGTGCTTCCGGAGGCACGTGGCGGAACCACTGAGCTAAATCCCTGACCTTATAATTGTGATTTTAAATGACTTCTCATATGTCCCCAATGCTCTCCTCAATATTATCTTCAGTGACTTCTGGGTTTTTAAGTTCCTCATTAACCTTGTAGTTTTTCCCCCCCCCGACTGTTTATTGTTACATTTGAAGCAAACTAAAGTTACATTTATCATTGGGATGTTGTACCTTTACATAATATATCTTGGTTCTTGTTTTTCCCCTATACCCCTGCACTCCCTTCATCCCCTTCACCTTTACCAAATTATGAGGAGTTTGTTTCCATTTTTTCACATTTTTTTCTTATCCCATATTTCCTGTCCCCTCCCCTTCCTACTTCCACTTTAGCCATTTTCTTCCTACTTCACCCTCTCAGTTACACCATTTGAACCTTATTTACACTTTTAGTTTTTTACACTAGAGAAACTATTCAGTATTTACTCAACTGTGTCCTATTTATTTCAATTAAGAGTCTGGGCCGGGGATTTGACTCAGTGGTTCCACCACCTGCCTCACAAGCGCAAGGACCCGAGTTCAATTCAGGGTACAAAAAAAAAAAAGAGAGAGAGTATAGCCTCAATGTGCATCCATTTAGCTATTAACGTTTCTACTTTCTCATTCCTTATGGCTGAGCACTACTCCATTTTATAGAAAAACTGTCTCCAGTTGATGGGCATTTGGGTTGTTTCCAAGTTTTAGCTATTATTAACTGTGCCACTATAAACATGAGTGCACATATACTGATGTGGTATGATTCTTTTAATTCCTTTGGAAAGATACCTAGCAGAGGGATAGCTGGGTTAAATGGAACCTCTGATCCTAGTTCTTTGAGGCATCTCCATATTGATTTCCACAGTGGTTGCACCAGTCTGTACTCCCACCAACAATGGAGAAGGGTTCCTTTCTACCCACAACCCTTCCAGCATTTGTTATTGGTTGATTTCTTGATAGCAGCCATTCTTTCTGGGGTAAGGTGGAATCTCAGTGTTGTTTTAATCTGTATCTCTCAAATGACCAATGATGTGGAACTTTTTTTTTTCACATATTTACTTGCTTCTTTTGCTTCTTTGAGAAATGTCTGTTCATTTCAGATGCCCATTTTTTAATGAGGTCTTTATATTTGGGGGGTCTGATTATTTTGAGTTCTTTATATATTCTAGATAGTAGTCCTTTGTCTGAAGAGTAGTTGGTAAAAAATTTTCCCATACTGTAGGTTGTCTCAGCTCTGTTTTTTTTTTTCACATATTTACTTGCTTCTTTTGCTTCTTTGAGAAATGTCTGTTCATTTCAGATGCCCATTTTTTAATGAGGTCTTTATATTTGGGGGGTCTGATTATTTTGAGTTCTTTATATATTCTAGATAGTAGTCCTTTGTCTGAAGAGTAGTTGGTAAAAAATTTTCCCATACTGTAGGTTGTCTCAGCTCTGTTGGTGCTTTTTCTTGCACTGGAAAAACTTTTTAATACAATGAGATCCCAGTTGTTGATTCTTTGTTCAAGTTCTTGTGCTGCTGCTGATTTGTTCATAAAGTCTTTTCCTACGCCAGTGTCTTTGAGAGTTCTGCCTAACTTATTTTCCAGCAAGTTTAGTGTTTCTGTTTTGATATTTAGATCTTTAACCCACTTGGATTTTACTTGAATGCATGGTGAAAGATAGGTATCTAGTTTTAATCTTTGGCCAACTGAAAGCCAGTTTTCCCAACACCATTTATTAAAGAGGCTATCTTTCCTCCAATGAGGATGGTTGGCTCCTTTTTCAAGGATGATGTAGCTGGGTATGTCTGGTGTTCTTTCTGCATCTTCTAATTTATTCCATTGATCCTTGGGTCTGTTTCTTTGCCAGGACCATGCTGTTTTTGTTTTTTTTTTTTAAATCACAATGGCTTACTAGTATAGATTCAAGGTGGGAATTGTGATACCCCCTGCCATGTCTCTGTTGCTTAGAATGTATTTTGTTCTTCTAGGTCTCTTCTGGCTCCAAATGAATGTTTGGATTGTTTTCTCTACTTCTGTGAAATATACTGTTAGGGTTTCAATAGAGATTGCATTGAATCTGTATAGAAGTTTTGGAAGTATGACAATTTTCACTGTGTTGGTTCTTCCTACCCAGGAGCAGAGGATATCTTTCCATCTTCTTATATCCTCTTAAATCTATTTTTTAACAGTGCTGTAATTTTCAGTGTAGAGGTCTTTTGCTTCCTATGTTAGATTGATTCCTAAATATTTCATTTTTAGATGCTATTATGAAAGGAATTGTTCCCTAATTTCTCTCTCAGTGAGTCTGTTATTTGTGTACAAGAAGGCTATTGATTTTTGAGTGTAGACTTTGCATGCAGCAACTCTACTGAATCTGTCAATTAAGTCTAGCAGTGTTTTGGCAGAGTTTTTTTGATCTTCTATGAAGAGTATCTTATCTTCAGCAAATAGTGACAGTTTAACTTCTTCCTTTCCTATCTTTATTCCTTTTATTTCTTTCTCTTGTCTAATTGCTGTGGCTAATGTTTCCAAAACATATTGAACAGTAATGGTGATAGTGGACATCCTTGGCTTGTTCCTGATTTTAGTGTAAAGGTTTTCAGTTTTTGACCATGTAGTATGATGTTGGCTGTTGGCTTTTCATACATAGCCTTTATCAGGTTGAGATAAAGACCATCTATTCCAATTTTCTGTGCGGTTTTTATCATGAACGGGCATTGAATTTTGTCACTGCTTTTTCTGCATCTGTTAAAATGATCATATGGTTTCATGCTTGACTTTATTAATATAGTATATTACATTTATTGATTTATGTATGTTGAGCCATCCTTGTATCCCTGGGATAAATCTGACTTGGTCTGGATGTATGATCTTCTTGATGATCTTCTGTTTTCTGTTTGCCATTGTCTTATTGAGGATTTTTGTATCTATGTTCATTAGGGAGATTGGCCTGTAGTTGTCTTTTTGGTTGGGCCTTTCTCTGGTTTTTGAATCAAAGTAACACTTGCTTCCTGGAATGAATTTGGAAGTATTGCTTCCTTTTCAGTTTCATTGAAAAGTTTAGAGGTCAGAGGCAATACTTCTTCTCTACATATCTTGTAGAATTCAGCAGTGAAGTCATCAGGACCTGGGCTTTTCTTTGTTGGTAATGTTTGACTTACATTTTCAATTTTATTTAATATAATTGGGGTGTTTAGACTTTTTATATCTTCTTCATTCAACTTTGGAATTTCATTTGTGTCTAGGAATGTTTCCATTTCCTCTGTTTTTCATTTTATTAGACAACAGGTTTTTGAAGTAGGTATTGATGATCCTCTAGATTTCTGGTGGATCTGTTATGACTTCACCTTTTTCATTCCTAATTACATATATTTGAGCCTTTTTTGATAAGGTTGGCTAAGGGTTTATTGATTTTGTTTATTCTTTTGTAAAATCAACTCAACTTGTTGATTTTTTTGTATTGTTCTTTTAGTTTCCATTACATTAATTTCTTCTCTGATCTCTGTAATTTCCTCCATTGTGTCAGCTTTTTGTCTGTCTTGCTCTTCTTTTTCTAGAGCTTTAGGTTAAGCATTAGGTTGTTTATTTGAGCTCACTCTGTTTTCCTAGTATGGGCATTTACTGCTATGAATTTCCCTTGTAGAACTGCTTTCATTGGTTCACATAGATTTTGTATGTTACATTGGCATTATCAATGTAATTGTAAAAACTGTCTAATTTCTTCAATTTCCTCTGTGACTCATTGGTTGTTCAGCAGGGTGTTATTCATTTTTTATGTGTTTGTGAAGTTCTTGCAGTTTCTTATGCTATTGATCTCTAGTTTAATTGCACTATGGTCTGATAATATAGAGGGAATAACTTCAATTCTTTTGCATTTACTTAAGCATGTTCTATGAGCTAGCATGTGGTCTATTTTGGAAAATGACCCATGTGCAGCCGAAAAGGATGTATATTCTGACTTTGTTATGGTATAACATTCTGTAGACATCTACTAAGTGCATTTGTTCAAAGTCTTGGTTCAGTTCTGCTACTTTGTTGTTGATATTTTATCTAGATGATCTATTTGTCACAGTGGGATATTGGGGTCCCCCACTACAATTGTATTAGTGCTTATTTTATTTTTCATATCCATTAATATTTATTTTGTATAGTTTGGGGACATTAGTATTTGGTGCACAGATATTTACAATTGTCATTTCTTCCTCTTGTATTATTCCCCTTACAAGGATGTAGTGGCCTTCTTTGTCTCTTTTAATTAGTTTTGGTTTGACTACTCTGTCTGCAAATAATGTAGCTATCCCCACTTTTTTCCAGGCTCCTGTCACGGGGAGAACTGTTTTCCATCCTTTTACTCTCAGTCTATGAATTTCTTTGTGGATTAAGTTGGTTTCTTGAATCTTTCATAGTTTGGCCTAAGGAAAACTTTGTGTCCTTAGAGGAACTGCTGCATTTCCTTCTTCAGATTATTACCTAAATTTTTGGGTTTCCTTTTTTTTGTTTGTTTTCTTGTTTTTCTCTTTTCCATTTTCAAGAAGACCCAGCCACCTAATTGACTAAATATGACTAGTATGTTATCTTTCAAACTACTACCTATTATAAAACTTTTTATTAATTTAAAATTTTTAGATTAGTTGTATAATTTTTGGTTTTTAGTAAACCTGTTAAGACCTTCTTTAAAGAATAAAATCAAATAAATAAAATACCTACCAAGTCAGTTCAAATGCTAGCTCCACACATATGTACTTTATCCTTGTCTCTTAAGAACAAGCTGGTTCTACATGCCTACTCTTCTGTACCACATTGTACTTCATTTATAGTAATACTTATTTAGGTTTTATTGTAGTTATAATGTTTATACTTGTCCTCTCCAGTGGATAGAAATTCAATGGGATAGGACAAAGCCTTAGAGTTGAGGATGCTTTCTCTGCATCTACTTTTGGTAGCAAAGCAGTCTGAGAGGACTTTACATTAACTGTTATCAAAGTTAACAGATAAGGAAGGAAAAGGAACAGTATTTCCTATGAACTACATACAGAAGGGAGAAAGAAATATGCAGAGGAAAAAACAGTGAAGAGTTTTTTCCTTCCAAATACGTGTGCTGGAGACTTGCAAAAACGTTTACTCTGTATAATATTGAAGGCCAGGGTAAGAGAAAACACAAGTCCAGTATTTCACGTGGCCTTTTCAATTCAATCAAACCTTACTTATATTTGGAGGTAGATTGTATCATATTCTTTAGCTATCAATTATCTGTAACTCTAGCAATACTTATTGTTTAGAACTTTTCTCACACATAAACACATACACAAATATGCATACACATATGTATGTATGTAATTGTAAATATTTCCAAATAATTATGATAAGTATTTATATCAATCTTCCCTGTATTGAATTTCCATTAAGGAAAAGATGTTGAATATATCTGTTCTGCTTTTTTTTTCTACTAGAATTTCTTTCATTGTAATTAAGACATTACCCAAGTTTTGTTAATTTATTCATTTAGAAAGAATACCAAGAAATGTGTGTATGACATTTACACTTATTCATTCAACAAATATTTGTTAAATGTATACTTTATGTAACATACCATGATAGCACTGGGAATATACTAACTTGAACATATAGAATAATTACTTTTGAATCTTACTTAACTTGAAACTATTGAATATATATTGCCATGGAGTTTGGCACATAAATTGCCTGTATATGGTAGCTATTATTTATATAATTTTTCAAAATTGGCTACCTTAAATCGAAATAGGCATCTAGCTTGCAATAAATTATCTTTGATAATCATCATTTTACTTTATGTAAATAAGTTTTCAAATAAACATCACAGGATACAGGAAGGACATAGAATTTCAGTGAACTAATAATATTAGAAAATAATGTAATGTAATGTCATTGCAGAAGGAATTTGTAAGTGACACGCAGGCAGCAGAATGGAAGTAAAATAACAAATTTACTCATTGATGAGGGTTGATAACACATAAGGAGTGCCTGGATTGATGAAACACTGGGTTACAATTCCTCCTTTTATAGGGTTTTACAGCCTAGACTTCATTTGGATGGTTACATTTCATTCTCATGGTTCACATCATGGTAACAAGATAGTTAACTTTAACCCAGATGTAACAGTTCTTTGCAGTTGGGGAATTTACTTTAACATTCCCCTAGCTATCCTAGTGCACAGAAGGTGGGTGTTCAAGGTTAGGGATGTCCCATTTCGTGGTCAATGCCTTTAATGTCTGTTAATTTTTTTTTCTCATTGAGTTTATTGGTACATTTTAGGTATACAGTTCAGTTACATTCATTGGGATCTTGTACCTTTACATGACAGGTCTTGGTTCTCATTTTTTCCCCTTGTCCCTGCCCTCCCTTCATGCAAGAGAAAATAACTATATCAGCCTAAAGCACTAATTGGGCACAAACTCAGCAAACTAGGCAGACATGCTCTCCACATCCCCCATCCTTCCCATTTCCTCTATACCTTTAGGGGCTGATTAATTTTGAGGTAGGCAGCAGAACCACTGATCTAAATCCCCACTAATGATTAATTTTGAATTAAACAAAGCAGATTTCTGTTAGAGACAGAAGCCATTTTACATTTCCTAACATTTTGTAAGTTTTTAGATTATTTACAAAAGTTCTCTGTATCAGTGTAAGCTAATGATATTAGAAAATTTATTTTTCTTTATCTTAAGAGATGAGTTTTGTTGCTGTTTGTAAGTCTGTAGAGAGTGGAAGCCAAAGACAATTTGATTGGGATCAGAAAAAATTCTCTTAAATGTTATTTAAATAAGAATTTCATGTTAAAATATTTTTCTTTTGGAATATAGAATGATATATCTACTTTCTTCCCCCTTCTGCTTGTTTTAATTGTTATTTTATTAGGCTATTCATTCAATTAATTGGCATCATGAAGGCAAACAGTTCATGTGCAGCCATTCAGATGGTAGCTTGACTTTATGGAACCTGAAAAGCCCGAGCCGCCCTTTCCAGACCACAATTCCGCATGGTAAGATATTTGCTTTCCCAAGAACTAGACACTAGAGACATAGTGCCTTGACTTGAAATAGGAGTGGTGGTATTAGCATGAGTGATAGAAAAGTGTTTTTTTTTTAATTCTAAATCTTTCTTTATACTTCCTATATTATGCCCCCAAATTTCTGTACTTCATTTATTTTTTTTTTTTTTTTTGCTGCCAACTCACTTCTTCACTTTGTAAGCTATACTTAGAGGCTGTCTCAACCAAAATTTAGATAATGGATGGTTGGTAATGGATCTTTTCTAAGGTAGTAGTAATAATATGTAGGAAATTAGGACAGTTTCAAGAATGAATAGGAATCGAGAGAACAGAAGTATATTGTTCTGACTTTCAATACTACTGTGAGTGAAAATACCACAGAAAATTCCAATATTTTGTAAAATTACACTAATAAAATGTAAAACAACATACAAAAAACCCAATATGTTTCTATTTACATTCTTTGGGTTTATTTTGTTCCTTTTTTTATGTCATTTTTATTTTCTAAAATAAAATATTCTCTAAGTGCCATTTTAGCTGTATCTATTTTCTTATATATAATTTCATTAATGTTATAAAATATTATTAATGTTAAATATAAGGTTTTTTCCATTTCCTATTATAATTCTCCTTTGACACATGAATTTAGATAAATGTTTTCAGGTATCTAAACATTTTTTGTGTGTGATTGATTCTGAGTGTAGCCAGAGAATGTAATATGATACTAGTTCTACAAAATTTACTGAGCTTTGCTTTATAATTAAGGCATAGCCAATTGTCTTAATTTCCAATTGTCCTTGGAAATAGCATACATTTCCTATCTGCCTTAAGAAAGGTCAAATTTAATTTTATTTGTGTAGATTCAATTTTTGCTAATTATTAGTTTGATGTTTAGATTTCAAGAAAGGTGAGTTATATTTTCTATTATACTGTATTTTGTCTCATTCTGTTGACTCCTGATTTATATTTATTAAAAATCAAATAGGTAAAATGATTTAGAGCCCTGATTCAATTTTATGTGATCTTACTATTATTGGTTTTCTATTAGTTCTATCATATTGCTATTGTTTCTCTTTTTACCTTTCTGTGTTCTTTTGAATTATTTGAATATTTAAATAAAATTTCATTTGAGTTTATACAAGGTTTTTTTATCCCAACTTTTTACTTGGTTGCTCCAGAGATTACAGGATAGTTCCTTCAATACTCAACATCTGTTAGTGCTAACATTATAACTGTTCACATAAAATATGGAAATGTAACCATTTAGATCTCTTTGTTTTCCCCCACTGTCTTTTGTGCTATAGTTATTACTTGATATGTTTAAATCTATTGTCATGGCTTTTTCTTTTAACATTCATGTGTGTTATTAAGAGGAAAAACAATTTCTTGTATTATTATTTTATTTTGAACATTTTTAAGCATTTTATATATGTCTAGAGGAAATGAATTCAGTTAGTTTTCTCAACATAAATATCCTTTTCTTCATTACTTTTTCTTTTATAGGAGTGTTTTATTATATAAAAATGTAAATATAGAGTGTTTTATTACATAAAAATTTGAATGCATGACAATTGAATAGTACATCTTTCATTCCGCTTCAGTATAAATTAATCATGTGCAATTTTCAAGAATAATGAGTTTCATTTTGACATATTTGTACATATGTATCATTGAGGTCAACATTATTCATTTTCCTATGAATTAAATAATTTTGTGCTTTATTGCTGAATAATACCCCATTGTGTAATCCCAAGCTGTTTCATGTCTTAGATTTTTTTAATTATACTGTAAAAATTTAACTATAGTGGCCGTACTTTACATTTTCCATCAACAGAGTCCAAGTTCTTCTTTTGTCTTACATCCCTTTCAGAATTTATTCTTTTTGTATTCTTGACAATAGTCATTATAATTGGCATGAGATAGACTGTCAATGTAGTTTTAATTTCTGTTTCTCTTATTTGTCTTCATTATAGTTTTAGTAGATTTGGATTTCTGAGCTGACTTTTTGTGTTTTTTGTGCATTGCTTTTACATTTTATTAATATAATTTTATAAAATATTGGACTTCTCTGCGGTATTTTCATTCACACATATAAAATATGTTGATTATGTCCAACCCCTTATTTCCTTCCCTTATGTACTTCTTCCTTTATTCTCTGACCACTCCCCTTTTAATAATAGTCAGTCTTTGTGTCATCCTTCCTTTCTAGATTGTACATATTAGCAAAAATATATGATACTGGCTTCTACGAGATTGGCTTCTTTCTTCCTTTTTTTTTCATTAAATTTATTGATTCTTTTTAGGTATACACTACAGTTACATTCATCATTGGGATTTGGTACCTTTATGTGGTATATCTTGGTTCTTATGTTTTCCCCATACCCCTGCCCTCCCTTCAGCCCCTTCACCCTTTCCTATTTACAAAGACTTTGTTTGTATTTTTTCTTTTCTCATATTTTTTTCTTTTCCTTTCTTTCCTTTACTCTAGCTTCCCATTTCCCTTACTCGTTCAGAACTTTTCATCTTATTTCACATTAGCAGTTATACAATTTGATCCTTATGTACACTTTTAGTTCTTCACACCAGAGAAATGATTCAATATTTACCCATGTGTGTCCTATTTATTTTACTTAAAGAGGATAGCCTCAATATGCATCCATTTAGCTGTAAATGACTGTAGTTTCTCATTCTTTATAGCTGAGTAGTATTCCATTTAATAGAAAAACCACATCTTCTTTATCCAATCTCCAGTAGATGGGCACTAGGGCTATTTCCAAGTCTTAGCTATTACAAACTGTGCTGCTATAAACATGGGTGTGCGTATATCACTGTGGTATGATTCTTTTAATTCTTTTGGAAAGATACCCAGCAGAGGGATGGCTGGGTCAAATGGAACTTCTAATCCTAGCTCTTTGAGGTATCTCCATATTGATTTCCATAGTGGTTGCACCAGTCTGCACTTCCACCAACAATGGAGAAGGGTTCCTTTCTACCCCCAACCACACCAGCATTTGTTATTCGTTGATTTCTTGAAAACAGCCATTCTTTGTGGGGTGAGGTGGAATTTCAGTGTTGTTTTCATCTGTGTCTTTCAAATGGCCAGTGATGCCAAACATTTTTTCATATATTTATTTGCTGCTTCCTGAGAAGTATCTGTTCATTTCAGATGCCCATTTTTAAATTGAGTCTTTAGGGGGTCTGATTTTTTTGAGTTCTTTATATATTCTAGATACTAGACTTTTGTCTGAGGGACAGCTGGTAAAAAAGTTTTTCCCACAATGTAGGTTATCTCAGTTCTGTTGGTGGTTTTTCTTGCAGTGTAGAAGCTTTTTAAAAAGATGAGATCCCAGTTGTTGATTATTTGTGCTACTTCCCATGCTACTGAGAATTTGTTCATAAAGTCCTTTCCTATGCTAATGCCTTTTAGAATCCTACCTAACTTATCTTCCAGCAAGTTTAGTGTTTCTATTTTAATATTTAAAACTTTAATCTACTTTGATTTTAGTTTAGTGCATGGTGAAGCATGGGAAAGATGGGGATATAGTTTTAAACTTTGGCTATTAAATAGGCAGTCTTTCCTCCCTGAGGATGATTGGCTCCTTTGTCAAAGATGAGGTAGTTGAGTACTTCTGGAGTTGTTTCTGTCTTTTCCAACCTGTTCCACTGATCCCCTGATCTGTTTCTTGGCTGGTACCATGTTGTTTTTCTCACAGTGGATTTGTAGTATAGTTTCCAGTTGGATATTGAGACACTCCTTGTCATGTCTCTGTTGCCTAGAATGGCTTTTGCTGTTCTAAGTGTCTTCTGGTTCCAAATGAATTTTTGTATTGTTTTCTCAAATTCTGTGAAATGTACTGTTGGGATTTCAATAGAGATTGCATTGAATATGTATAGCAGTATTGGAATCATGACCATTTTCACTATGTTGATTCTTCCTACCCAGGAAATGGGGAAGTATTTCCATTTTCTTATATCCTTTTTTATCTCCTTTTTCAGAGTGTTGTAGTTCTCAATGTAGAGATCTCTTGCTTCCTTCAATTGATTGATTCCTAGATATTTCATTTTTTTGTATTCTATTGTGAAAAGAATTGTTTCCCTAATTTTTCTCTCAGTGAATCTGTTATTGGTGTAGAAAAAGGCTATTGATTTTTGAGTGTTTACTTTGTATTGAGCTACTCTACTGAATCTGTCAATTAAGTCTAGAAGTCTTTTGCCAGAGTTTTTTGGGTCTTCTATGTAGAATATCATATCATCAGCAAATAATGAGAGTTTAACCTTTTCCTTTCCTGTATTTGTTGCTTTTATTTCTTGTCTAATTGCTGTGGCTAATATTTTTAATACCATATTTTAGTTTTAATTTTATTGATACATTTAAGGTATGCAGTATAATGACATTCATCATTGGAAATTTGCACCTGTACATAATCCATCTTATTTTTTTTTCTTATTTTTTTCCCAGTTCTCTGCCCTCCCTTCAACCCTTGCATCCCTCCCTATCTACAAACACTTCTTTCCATTTTTTCTTTTTCTCATATTAATTCCATTCCTTTATTTCTTTTTCCCTACTCCTTCCCCTTTTCAACTTTTCTTCCTATTTAACATTATCTATTATGCCTTTTAGTCCTTATTTACACTTTCAGTTTCTCAAACTAGAGAAAGTATTCAGTATTTACACATGTGTCCTATTCATGTCACTTAAGGGTATTGCCTCAATGTGCATAAAGTTAGTTATAAATCTGTCTTGTTTCTCATTCTTTATGCCTGAGTAGTACTCCATCTTATATTAAAAAAAACACATTATCTTTATCCAGTCTCCAGTTGGATGGGCAGTTGGGGTGCTTCCAAGTTTTAGCTTTCAAAAATTGTGCTGATATGAACATAGTGCACATATATCTCTGTGGTATGATTCCTTTAATTCTTTGGGGATAATACCCAGCAGGGGGATGGATGGGTCAAACAAGACCACCAACCCTAGTTCTTCAAGGTATCTC